TGCCCTTTATTAATGACGCCTAGTATATATACCCAATATATTATGTCCGAAGAGTCCCAAACGATCAATGTCTTCATGTGTTGTCCATAATTATTGCCTGTAGAGTTCCGGTTCCGATCTGGAGCCCAGCACCTCATGTTTGTGGTAGTGGTCAACTAAAATTAACACAAACTGAATTGGTATTTAACTTGACTGTTCGCATTTCTCTGGTACCACGATGGTAAGGAAAATTTCATGCCACTGCCTTAAACAAAATTCACTCTCACTATTGTTGGACACAGTAAAAGTAAACGTTTCCAAACACCTGTTCAAATACAGATATATATGACAATAACTGTACACGATGTTTTATAAAACATTTTCAACATGTTGCTAGAGTGCCTGAAGTAAAATGTAACTGTATCAACTTAATTTTTTTCAATTTATGTTGTCAGTGAATCACTATCCAATAATAATTCCAAACGTTCGCGGACATCTCTCTTAAAAATACCGGTGTTCAAGTAAAATACGGAATGGCGTATGACATCATTTTTTCTCGCCATCGTGTCCATTTTTGAAATGTATTCCACTTGTGTTCAAGAAAATACTTTGCAAGCTGTGGAGGCCATGGATGTTAAAATCTTGAACTAACAACAACTTTAAAGAATTGTATAATACTCTTTAAAATGTCCGTAGAATGGGCATTGCATTAATTTTTACTCACATGTAGTATGTTGGTGCACATGCCACTTTTTACTTTATTCTAGGCATTGGACATGCTAATTGAAAATTCAGACTTCGTTGGGGCATTGTGGGACGTTTGCGTGAAGCGCATTTCTGGTATCCCCCACCGGGATATTGCTGGAATATTGCTAAAAGCTGCGTAAAATTAAACTCAATATCTCAGCCATATCGTGACGAAAACAATTTAAACAACAATAAAGATAAAAACATTCTGAACAGTAAAACGTGTCGACGATGGACAGTAAAACTACTAGAGTATCACAGATATGAATATAAAACTAGATTTAGATTGCCAACAACTGAAGGTAGATCACAATACTAGGGACCATGGGGACTTACAATACCTTTGCTACCTACATGGACCCTAGCTGGATTTACATCATTCCTTCAGCCGCTGGCGATTGTAGACAAATTTAGCTATAATTAAAAATCATAAAAATACTACGCTTTAAAAGTAAAAAAAAGTACGCTGGTAAGTTTCAAATTTACTTGTAATGTTTCGGGACTAACGTCCAAATTTGGAATCCTCTGTCTATTCATCTTTCTTTAATCTTTGAGTGTCATGATTAACGGATTTGGTATTGGTATTTTGAGAACATAAAACAAGGTCGATGAATGTGTATTTTGCTGATGTAGCAGTCGGAAAATTAGTCGTCAGTAGTTTAGTATGTGCAACCTGGAATATTGCGTGTGCCTTTGATGCAGCTATTTACTCGTCAGTAGACAGCACCGCGAGTGCTCGATACCAGGACATGCTACTGATGTAAATCCTTCTCCCACTGAAATTGATATTGAAGTTAAAGATCTATTCAGGGCTAAATACCATTAATCATTTACAAAAATATCCACAAAATGCCATAACTGGGAACTGTCTTTAGTATTACGTATATGCTGATGCCATACCACTTTCCAATCCGAACCCCCATTACAGCAGCTACCTAAGTCTCTCAAACCTGTGAGTCATGTCAAGAAGAGTGTTGTCCTTAACTATTACACCTCATGCTTGTGGTAAGGGCCAACTAATGGTAGCATCAACTGAACTGGTATTCAACTTGGCTGTTGGCTGGTGAGGATCATTTCATGCCACCGCTTTAAACAAAATTCACTCTCACTCTTCTTAGACACAGTGACGTCTTCAAAGCGTAAACGTTTCCAAACACGTGTCTGTTCAAGTACCTACATATTTGACAAGAACAGTGCACGGAATTTCATAAAATAAGTTTAACATGTTGCCAAAGTTTCTATTCCTGCCTGAAATATAAGAGTAACTCCATCAACATTAATTTTACGATTACGTTATGGCAGTGAATCACTATCCAATAATAATAATTCCAAATGTTTGCGGACATCGCTCTTAAAAATACCATTGTTCAAATAGAATACGGAATGGCGTATGACATAATTTTTGTCATTATTGAAATGGCTTCCATATGTATACCATTAAACTCTTTGCAAGCTACAGATGTTGTGAATGTTAAAACTATTGTTAAAGAGTTAATGACGTTCTTTGAAATTTTCGTGGAAAGGGCATTGTATCATTATCAACTCACATGTAGACAAGTTGGATCACATGCCACTCTTTACTTAATCCAGGCATTTGATAGGCTAATTGGGAATTCGTCGGGACACTTTTACGAACAATACTACTATTTCTCACACCAGAAATCAAAGCAGCAAGTATAATCTAGTCTTTAAGAAGAACTATAGTCGGTGACTGAAGCAGGTTTTACGCCGCTTTTAACAATATTCCATATGTCACTGTGAGGGACTCCAGAAATGGACATAGTAGAACTATAGACCAATCCAGCGTGACAAGGCACTTTGTAATAGATATTTAGAATGCATAATTAGAATACATGGAAAAGTGCCTCTCTCTCACCTAACCTTACATTAAGACCAGCGGTTCTAGTTTAGGTCTATTTGGAAACGTGACCTTTTTTGCGGCAAGGTGAATACTATTATCATTGACTTTATTTTTGCTGATACCACTGCTATTGTATTCTATTCTGTACTTCAATTGTAATTGCTGTGCAGTAGTTATTATTGATTTGTAAACCTAGTTCATTTTCTGAGATACCTAATTGTTTTCGTCGAATACGTCGATAAGTAACAACAGACACAAATGGAATTTTGGGTACCATAGGCATATTATAGAGGTTAAATTTCATTAAATGGCCAGCGTCCACGTCTCATCTGTTGAAAGTCTTGACAGAACACTCAAAACGTGTCAATACCTTGATCAAAACGTGTCAATACCTTGATCAAAACGTGTCAATACCTTGATCAAAACGTGTCAATACCTTGATCAAAATACCTTGATCAAAACGTGTGGGAACCCATCAGAACGCGACAGTGAGTGAGTGAGTGAGTTTAGTTTTACGCTGCACTCAGCAATATTCCAGCTATATGGCGGCGGTCTGTAAATAATCGAGTTTGGACCAGACAATCCAGTCATCAACAGCATGAGCATCGATCTGCGCAATTGGGAACCGATGACATGTGTCAACCAAGTCAGCGAAACTGACCACCCGATCCCGTTAGTCGCCTCTTACGACAAGATAGTCGCCCAGAACGCGACAGGCGGGAAGGAACCGAACCGTAGTGCGCCTTTGAGCTGCATGGACTCAGCAGCCCGTTTTTCCTAACGGCCCATCACGGATACCGTGATAGACCGTGACAAGACTTGACTTTGGAGGGAAAACATGTCCAAAATCTCACGGCGCACTACATTCCGGGGAAACGGGGCTGCCCTGGCCTCCGGGGACATAGTGTAACCCTAGCATAAGGATTTTATATGAATTGCTTTAGGCATTGGATTCGAATCTTCCCATAGCGAAAGCAAGACGTCACGGGAAAGGTGTGATCCTAACAGTTTAAATTAGGCAGCAGATTAGGGTTGACTAGGCAATAGCTGGAACTGCATTGAATCATACTTACAGATGAATTATATGGCCTGCCTCCGATTTACGAATGACGGCAATCGTTATAAGCGACGTAGCTACGATCAGTATGTCAGGACAACATCTCTTGGCCATAACAGATATTTTATGTCGGTGCATGTCTGAAAGTGATTTGTCGTTTTGTCAGTGTATATAATTAATGCTTCGGATATATGGTAAAATAGTTAGCTGCATCCTAAATACATTTTCATATCATTTTCCCAGTGGGTTCTGATATCATCCCCTACAGCTTGAGTCCTATTCCACTTGACAGACTTATTCTTCTTCCGTACAATCTATCTACATGTATAACAATGAAGTTGTATGATGTTGAAGAATCTCGACGGTGGTAACATTCTATCTACACAGTGCTCTTTCGCACGTAGGAATTTAGTGGACGGCATTATTTTCCAGTAGCTCATGACGACATCGTCATCGTGTTTGTTTGTTTTTGTTTGTTGGTTGTTTAACGCCGTACTCAGCAATATTCCAGCTATATGGCGGCGATCTGAAAATAATCGAGTCTGGGACAGACAATCCAGTGATCAAGCATCAATAATTGGGATACGATGGCATGTGTCAACCAAGTCAGCAAACCTGACCACCCTGTCCCGTTAGTTGCTTCATACGACAAGTATGGGTTGCTGAAGACCAATCATCATTGTGTAATCACGATGTTCGACTTAAGCCACGAATGTTGTAAACCAGGGCCCCGTTCCTCAAAGCGATCGTAGCGCTAAGAAGATCGTAACTCCCATACTTTAACATAGACTTACAACTGTCGTAGCGCTACGATCGCTTTGAGGAACGGGGCGCTGATCTTGTACCAACAAAATCGTGAAATATATATAGATTGGACCTGATTGAAATATTTTCAACGGGGGTGTGTGTGTGTGTGTGTGTGTGTGTGTGTGTGTGTGTGTGTGTGGATCCCGAGGATCCGGGTTAGAATTGGTCTTCAGCAACCCATGCTTGTCGTAAGAGGCGGTTAAGGGATCGGGTGCAGTGGTTGATCTGGTTGACATCGTATCCCCACTGCGCAGATCGATGATCATAATGTTGAGAACTGGATTGTCTGGTCCACATAGCTGGAATATTGCCGAGTGCGGCGTTAAACCCGTTTTAAATAAGCTTTCCTCTTGTCATATAGACGTGTTGAGATATTCTTTCAGTCTGAATCGTTATGCATTGACGTAAATATGAAACAGTTGAGGCGGTTACATGAGTGTCTTTTATATCAGGTGGGTAAATTATTTGAGCGAACTTGACTGTTAATCAATGAATAATATTAACTTAACAAATAGTCACGATCATGTATTCAAGCATCATATGTTTCAGTGTGACTGGGAATCAAGGCCCTGTCGACAAGACGACTTTGTCTACAAGGAAACAGATATGGGCAGATGTTTCACATTTAACGGTACGTTGAATATGTATTCGTGGGACTTGGGGTGGGTACTCGAGAATAACTTAATATTTCGAAGATTAAAATACATATTAGTTCCCAGTAATAGTTGCATGGTAATGATGAACGAATTATGAACGCATGGAAACGGGCAATGAAGTATGACAGTTTATATCGACAGTTTATATACAGTTGTTTATATCGCCTGTTATGTTGACGGGCGATTGGGGTAAGATGGGAAATTTCTATGTTGACGTTTTCATTGGCATAGAGCGTAATAGCGCCACGATTTGACAAACATTCATTCAGTTGACGAGGGATATTGGGTGTGGGTTTCCCAATGGCGACTGGAGAGAGTACGTCCCACTCCAGCGCATGGTCAAGTTCAGCCCAAACAGTCGACGGCCGCCTGTGATGTTGATCCGGACGTCACCCTATCATGTTCCAGACGTCTTCAATGGGTCTGCTCTCATTTCTGACCATGGGATGTTATAGATGTTATAGAGTACGCGCGTTGTCATCCTGAAAGACAACACATCGACCCACTCGCTGGCGAGACAAAGGGTGTCAGTATGTAGTTCAGATAGTTCTCTCTAATGGCCCTTCCTTACACAATATGGAGCGGGTTGATTGCTATTGTGATGCCATCCCATACAATAGGCGATCAACATCAACGTGTCATGTTGACATTGGCTTGAGCCTTCCGACGTCGCCAGACACGACGGCAAAGTGCAAAGAGAAACGTAACTCAACCAAAAACATGATACTGATAAGCGACCAGTTTCGACGTTGTCTGTATCAATGACATCTACGACAATATGTCGGTTTTAGATCGGGGACATAACTCGACGTCGTCATGACTGCATGGAGATTGCAAATCTTCTGCAAAACTCGCATTCCGGTAGCTTGATTAAATGTAGTAGCAATTTGATTCTTTGTTCCAACTCGATTTCGTAGAGCGGGTTGATCGTCCATATTAAAGGTATGTTGGTACCTGTTCTTCGCTTGAAATGGTATTCATTTATGAGAGTGGGTATTGTGTTTAGCACTATCACAGCTAACAAAGAAATTTAACACATGTGGTAAGTCAAACACAGGCTTCTACGAAGGCTTTAACCAACAGGCCCTCATCGCTTCCTACAATTCTGGACGTGTGAAAATGTGTGGAAATGTGCGTACGTGCGTGCGTGCGTTCATATATAGTCCCTGGATCCATACTTGCTTCAAGCATTTCACATATGCTATGGACCCAACCACCAGTCTTCCCAGCAGATCCCGTTTTGAAAGTCCGACTCTGAAAGCTATTAGACGGCAATTTAAACGAAAACGTATTTTGGTATATGTGCTGACATGAATAAACTGTTGGCATTTTTCAATGAATGGAATAAATGGTAAAACATGTCATAAATTATTATGAATCTGTCATTTGATCAGATTTGGGTATTTTTGTGACAGTTCATGTATCCCCTGCTAAGATCATATCATGTTATACGGCCATATAGCTGGAATATTGCTGAGTGCGTCGTAAAACTAAGCTCACTCATATCATGTTATAACTTACACTGAACAAAATAATAAAAAGACTCTTCACCTATGTGGCAGCTTCTATTGTACTTATACACCACCCTGACTTCAGGACGGTGGGGTAGCCTAGTGGTTAAAGCGTTCGCTCGTCACGCCGAAGACCCGGGTTCGATGCCCCACATGGGTACAATGCGTGAAGCCCATTTCTGGTGTTCCCCGTCGTGATATTGCTGGAATATTGCTAAAAGCGGCGTAAACTCACTACCTTCAGGTGACCTGATCTTATATCACACAATATAAATCTACACACATATTTTCTGTTGCAGTGAATGGTTCTCTGCAAGCTCGGAAGTCTGGACGCAGTCATGGGCTGCGCCTCGTCTTGAATGTCGAGGACGTGGAATACACTCGAAGTATTGATGGGTACCTGGGAACAGGTTTTATGGTGACTATCGATTAAATATCATCTCCACAGGTGTGATTAACGCTTACCAATATGGTCCTCCCCGCAGAAAGCTTCTGTCTGATTCAACTTAAGACCTTGGCAGGAATTGGGCACCGTGATGTAGGACATAGGTTCTTCCACACTTTAAACAATGAACCACCCCACTGAATTGTTTTGCCATTGGTACTACTATCAAAGCCACGCAGACGACAAAATCGAAATTTGTGGTAATCGTTCAAGAGAGAGAGTCCATCGTCAGGACTACTGCAGCTCATCTGTGAAATCAGCAAAATGTGCATACCCAGCGTAGTTTTGAGACTGCTCTCTGGAATTTTGCTCTGCATCAGGAGGTATACTGGTTATTGAGCAACTGTATACCCGATTCTGACTTAATTCATAGCATTATCTGAAAACAGGCAATCTCAAAACCGGGAAACGCCAGCCACAACATACTGTTACTGACAAAATATATGCTCTCTCCTTATATCATTTATCCCGTGAAGTATTTCCATGCTCCCATATGTGAGCGTATATTTTTTCCAGTGCTAAGGTCTTGCTGTTATATTAAAGATTGCTGTTCACGCGCCGGAGGTGCCCCCAATCATGTCCGAGATGGGTATAGCTGTAGCGCCCGGCTCCCAGCACTTCATGAGTTTCGGAGTGAAGGTCAGTTTCATAAGCTAAATCAAGGTCAGTTTCATGTTCTTCAACTTCCGGAAGTCGATACCAGTGAAACTCGAAAACAGCTGCACGTTGATTTTCCCCGTTGTAAATCACAAAAGGTAAAGGGTGTTTTAAAATTACATGAATGGATCGCTGAAAATCAATGATGGCACCAGGTGTTTGCGAAAAGGGGATTAACGGTGTCACTCGCCTCTAACAATATCCTAATAAGAAATTAAGTGTTAGCATCAAATGATGGCTTTATTTGAATCCATTTGTTATGACCCAACAACGAGTGCTGTTTCCTGTAGAGCTATATTAGCATGCATACCCTCAGGTAACCACTCCTGTTGATGAACTATTTAATTCCGCATTACAGTCAGTTGTGTAACCCATCCGTCAAAGTACAGAATAGTGGCATGAAAACATTCGAAGGAATGCTTTCACTGTGTTGGACTTTATTGGAGTATTAACCATCAAATAGTGAAGGCCGAACTCATTGTATGAGTTCGGCCCTCATTCCATGAAGGTTCATAGTCCAATGGACTCACACTAACTGCAATGCAATTCTTTCTTAACATTGACAGTATTTTGACTATATAGGAATAACGTTTGCGTAAAAAGACGGAAAGTGAACCTTTACTTCTGCATGCACGTAGGTACGGGAATGACGGGCACTGACATACAGCTAATGTAAATCCATATAAATAGTTCGAATTGCGACGTGAAGACATATTCCTACTTACAGATATCCATAAACGCATGGATCCTGACACTATTCCAAAATATCCAAATACACGTAAGTATAGGGTGCATGGTACTATACTTTGAGCTACTAATAACTGACTCGCCAGCACCTGGTATCATCTTTATTTCAAAAAGGATTCCAAAACATATTCTTATGGCAGTTTCAGCTGAAGGTTCTAATTGCTATGGAAAGGGTTCTTTTTCTGTACATGTCTACTTAAGTGGAAATCGAGATTTAGAGAAGTTTACTACCTGTTTGTATGCACTGTTGCAACATGATTGAAGTGGAAAACATACGATTACAATGAATACATGGTATCCTAACCTGATGCTATATGTTGAGGTATGATTTTCTTTATTTATTTCTGTATTATAACAGAAGGTAACAGCAAATGAGGGTGTGGGTGGCTGTGGCATGAAGTTTCTGAAGTATTATCCAGGAAACTACTCTCGGGATGCATGCAGACAGGAGTGTGAGATGGATTTCATCGTCAGCATGTGCAACTGCAAGGACGTTTCAAATCCAAGCGATGTTCAACTTTGCACGCCCCAACAGTACCAGGAATGTTTAATCCCAGCCGTAGAGCAGTATCTGGAGACAGACACTGGCTGTGAAGCTGGATGTCCTGAGCCATGCAGATACACCAGGTTCACCACCCAACATTCCAGCTCCCCACTGACCAGGAACTACATTACTGCGTACACCAAGGCCAAGGGTAAGACTGAAGAGTACTGGAGGAGGAACCTCGTTATTCTGGAGATGTATATGAGCTCTATGACCTACGAACACATGGAAAAACAGGTCGGGTATGAGATCCTGGACCTGTTCTGTGACATCGGTGGAGCACTGGGGCTGTTGCTTGGTGCCAGTCTGCTGACAGTGTTAGAAGTGTTTGACTTCTTGTGTATCACTGTCTTCTCGGTGGTGTTTGAAAAGAACAAAGTTCATAAGATTGATCCAGGAGATAATTCTAAATAATGCATGAGTGATCTAAACGACCCCCCCAAAAAACCCCAAAAGCAAAGCCCAACCCCCCAAAAAACCACCAATAAAACCACACCAAAAAACCAACAACCCAAAACATAAAACCAAAGACCCCCAAAAAAAACTCAAACAAACAAACAAACGAAAAACCCAACGTACATTAAAACCATGTACTTGGTTTTTGGTTTGATAACGTGTGGCTAATTTACGTACCTATGAGATTGCAATCTGACAGATGTGATGATTTGTGTTTGACTTCTTGTGTATCACAGTCTTCTCGTCGTTATTTGAAAAGAACAAAGTTGATTTACCCAGGAGATCATTCCAAATAATGGATGGGTGATTTAAAAAAAGCACCCAACAAACATGAAAAGAAATGTACTTGGTTTTGGGTTTGATAACGTGTGGCTAATTCACCTATGAGACTGCAACCGGACAGATGTGATGAATGTGTTCTCGAACATTTAATGGCAAATATATTGTATGAAATAAATGATATTGATTAAGTGTTCAGTTACCATGCCAACTTTTTTGACCCTAGGTCAGGTTTATGGTTGATGTTGACATGCATGAGGTTGTTTATCAAAGACATATACAATGTAAAAGAAGAACTCTCCCTTTCTCAAAACCGATCGTATGAAGTAGTGATATCAGCAAATGCAAGTTGGTATGTTTAAGGCTTTCAAAGTATTCATGACCCGTGAAGATCTTCAGTAACCCATGCTTGTCGTAAGAGGCGACTAACGGGATCGGGTGGTCAGGCTCGCTGACTTGTTTGACACATGTCATCGGTTCCCCCTTGCGCAGATCGATGCTCATGTTGTTGATCACTGGATGGTCTGGTCCAGACTCGATTATTTACAGACCACCGCCATATTGCTGGAATATTGCTGAGTTGCAGCGTAAAACTAAACTCACTCACTCAAAGTATTCATTCAACTGTCAAGATACTTTAAACTTCACAGCAGAATACCCCACTCCAACCCCCACACCGATTTCATATACTCTTGAAATATATGTAGAGGACACTAATATAATATACTCCTGGAAACGAATAAGGGAACACATGAATGTACAAGTATTCCTTTATTCTTTTCCAGGATTTTTCACAAGGTATGTATTGCGCTGTGAGTGAAATTCTGGAAATAAATCAAGGAACACTTGTACTTTCATGTGTTCCCGTATTCATTTCCATGTGTATATTTCGAAAATTGTAAGGAAAATTCTTTTTTAGTGAAAGGAATAGGATAGTAATAAACGAAACACTTTACATCCATTGGAGAAGTATGACAATAGATGATATGACGGCCAGCGATCCCGAATGACGAAGGGGTAACATAGGAATGTTCAAAGTTGGCGTTATTGGATCATTTGTCTGTAATTCCGCAACACATTGTCAGACATTCATTCACTTATCCCCTTTGCCCTTGACATGGACGCACCCATTTCCTTTCCATGGTCAGTGGGGGAAAACTCTGGACTCGTTGCTGACCGTGATATTCGATGGACGTTGTGCACCTGGAGCATTGACGATTCGTGCACGGTGACAAAGCATTGTCGTCCTAAACGACCAAACCCCGATAAACACGTTTTGCAAACCGGACAACAAACGGTGTCAGTATTTTGTCCAATACTACTGCAGATAGCGCTGACCTTGCATTTTGTGTTGCAAAATTGTGATTGCAACTGGTTTATGTGTCAATATATTAGTTTGATGAGTGACACCGCAGTTAATGTTTATTGTCTCTACTTATGAATTATAATTTCGGGTGGCGTATTTCATTTAAATTTAATAAAATTTTCTCAACATATTCTATGTGTGTGTTTTTGTCTTCATTCCCAATCAGAGACTGTTCAGAATCCGAGAATAATTCTAAAATGTCAAAGCTACAATATATCTAGTCTCAAAATAGATTTCAATTCGCACAAAAGACACCATAGTGGTAGAAATGATGTGAATCGATAAGGATTTCGCAAAGAGAGTAAGGACGACCTGGCCTAACTGGTAGCACCAACACGCTCACAATTGGCATAAAATCGTTGCATATTCCTGTGCGTCGTTAAAATATTTATATATACATTGCTTTATTTTGAGAAAAACCTGATACTGAATCTAAAAAGAATTACGTCGGATGTTCTGAAGTATTTGGACGTTTAATACTTTTAATGTTATTCAATAGGTACACGACGGCAATCACTTACAGCCGACAAAGGCATCTAATAATTTCTTCATGTCAGTAATGGAACACCCATTATAACAGTCCTGACACACCAAAGTTGATATTCATGTTGATTTCTGGGAATCGAGGAGTGGATAACTAATTGGGATGTGACATTAACAACGTTCCACATCATAGGATCTCAATATCATTAAATTCTATCCGGTGCTCGGAGATTCCTCGTGGTATAAATCCAAGAACATTATTTGTGTAATGCCAACGTTCACTCCGATGAACAATGGGGCATCATACCTCGTAATGGACTTTCACTGTTTGTAATTATGTGAATAAATGTTAGATGTAATGGTGTTATATTTGGTAGAAGAGTCTTTTATACTTCATTTGGCCAACGATTTTTATCAGGAATGTTTAATTGAGATAGTCAAACAAGAGGATAAACACATGTTGGTTGAACTGGGGAGTTGATCTAGGGTGTACATGGAAAGTTGAATAACGTTAACTTAACACGTGGTATCCTCTCCCTGAACAAATAATGTGATCAATCACGGAACAAATATCTTTATTGATGTAAACTAGGAATAATGCGTAGCGTCATTGTAGGATGAAATGTGTGAACCATTCGTACTTTGATAAGACCATACACTGTGCATCACAAACATTAGTGATTTACTGGTGACGTATTACATTTACAAGGTGATATCTATTTACACAACACTCAAATGCACCAAATGCCCTCAAGGTTAATGACTGTTGAAAAAACCCATCAAGCTAGAATTAAGTGGCGTGACAGATGATATACTATTTAAAAAAAGAAACGCATAACCCAGAAATCTGTTGCGAAAATGTTGTATTTTCAAACATGTACAACTCGTCCACAAATAGACTATAGTACATGAATTCTTACATCAGTTTAGAAGACGGAAATGTCTATACAACCAAGTAGAAAATTGTAGATAACGGAGACGTTGGACGCGATGGGGACGACGTAGCACGGTCCCGACGTCGGGTCTCCTGGCTCTTAGTCCAATCTCTCTAAACCTGTTCCGTACAGTGTGACCGGGTATCCTCCGAAGTCCAGGCAGCCTGACTGCTGTGCTCTCACCCGTGGCAGTACGATCACGCAAATGAAGTACCCGGATGTACGTATCTTGGGCTGCAGTGGTGACTCGAGGTCTGCCTTTACGGTGACGGTCATTTGTTATACCTGTTTGGTTGTAACGACCTACAAGTCTATTACGCTCAGACTAACATTCAGACGCCTGGAACAGAAGATTGGTAATCTCCAGCGTGCATTCTTTCAATGGCGATGTTCCGTGTCGCAGAGTCAAGACGTGGCGTAGTGATTTGACCTTGAAACTCCTTCAAAACGAATGCCGATTTCCGAAAGTAATTTGGATTCTTATAGCCTGACAATGCATGCTCTTTGCTGCACAATTTCAACTGGAAGGTGATTTCTGCTGCGTTGTGGCGATGCCTTTTTAATCCTTGTAAGAAATCTCATCAAAATCAACATTTTCATGTAAAGTCGATTTTTTACTTGTGCAGTTGTGTAAAATCATCAACACTTTTGTTACATATTTTGACGATTATTTGAATACAACAGGTAATTAATAGATTTTTTAAAATACAAAACGACTATGCGTTTCCTTTTTTGGATAGTATATTCTCGTCATTAAAAACAGAGCCCTCATTTGGCTTCATTGCAAATTCATTTCCCAAGTTGAAACAAGATAACCAGAAACCAGTACATACAAGAGATGCGTGTGAAACCATTGAAACTGTGACCTGTCGATTTCCATGTTGAAACAATAACTTGGCAAACAAATTTTGTGTAGAACCAACCATACAAGGAAGAAATGTTGCACTGTTAACAACTGTTAACTATATAAATTCAACTCAGTTTACAAATAAATACCTATTACAGCAAAGGAATTCCAATGGCAGTACAAGACCACTGTCAATGCTATCTATAAACAGTGATGACTGACTGACTGAGTTTAGTTTTACGCCGCTTTTAGCAATATTCCAGCAATATCACGGCGGGAGACACCAGAAATGGGCTTCACACATTGTGCCCATGTGGGGAATCGAACCCGGGTCTTCGGCGTGACGAGCCAACGCTTTAAAAAACGTGATGATGATAATCAGCTAGCTGCAAAAATGGATAAACTTCCAAAGCTGGCTGAAAATACTGAATGAGTGAGTGAGTTAGTTTACTTTTACGCCGCACACAGCAATATTCCACCTATATGGCGGCTGTCTGTAAATAATCGAGTCTGGACTAGACAATCCAGTGATCAACAGCATGAGCATCGATCTGCTCAAATGTAAACCGATAACATGTGTCAACCAATTCAGCGAGCCTGACCTCCCGATCCCGTTAGTCGCCTCTTACGACAAGCATGGGTTACTGAAGATCAATATTCTAACCCGGAACTTCACGGGTAGGCTGAAAATACTGATCTGAACGGATTGCTGTACATGACTGAGATTATAGAGGCACGCACGTGACCCTTTATATGCTCTTAATACCTTATGGTGGAGGTGGGGTAGCCCAGTGGTTAAAGCGTTCGATCGTCACGCCGAAAAGCCGGGTTCGATAATCCACATGGGTATATTGGGTGAAGCCTATTTCTGATGTTTCCCGCCATGAGTGAGTGAGTATGTATTTATGCCGTTTTTAGCAATAATATCCCGGCGGGGGACACCAGAAATGGTCTTCACACACTTTACCCATGTGGGGAATTGAACCCGGGCCTTCAGCGTGACGAGCGGACGCTTTAACCACTAGGCTACCATACCGCCCCTACCCCG